AGCCTGGAAGCAGCTAAATTCGCTACAGCTTGAGACATTACATGTACATTGTAGGGAATCTCTGCTTTCCTTTTCCTAAAGATACAGAAACACAGCAAATCAATGCTCAGCTAACCGTGTTCACCATTCCTCAGAGCAATTTGAGTAACTGCTCTTCTGATGACGTTTTCAGCCACTTTAATGGCCTTTAATTGCAAAAACAGTTAGATTATGGCTTCGGCGCTCAGCCTGACACAATATCAATTCCATTTTGGGATTCATTCTGAAATTGAGCTGCAGCTGCTTTAATTCATCAGCATATCCAATATTCAAAACATCTGAAGCAGGATTTTAAATGTGAAAATGACAGACAGTCAATGACAACACAAGTTTGCATTGATTCATGAACAATATACGCATGTAGATCTTACACATACACAGTCAGACACGTTGCACACCCCTACATACGGCACTGAGCAAAATTTAGACACCTGAGAGGATTATATTTAAATAATCTGGGCAAACAAACATGATATCAGAATAAACGCTAATAACATTCATACAATAAGCAGCAATTTTATGTGTTAGCTTAACCATTTGAAAACATGTCCTCAAAGAAGTCCAGTATTATTTGTAGTTATCATCCAAAACTCATTTGACTTATCAATATTTTAAATAAATAATTCTTTAAATCAGGTGAGCTGGTGAAATCAAACTTTGTTCTTCCAACTGGCTTATAAGATTTCAACTTTTTTTTTAAAGAAGACATTATTTGTACTGCATTAATGTTTGTTTGCATCTTAAGCCTGTTCGTTTCTGGTGGTGACCAATAGTCACTAATGGTATTTTGTGCTTTCCTGATGGGTTGATGTCACAGTGTAAGGAATTATAATGGTTTATGTGGTGCTCTGGGGCTGATTTTAGATACATTTAATGGTTTCCTAATGATATCTAAAGGAAGGACCCCATGAACATTATATATATATATATATATATATATATATATATATATATATATATATATATATATATATATATATATACAAAGGCTGGTAAAGTTAAGTAATGCTAAAAAAAACACCTGGTAATTGATTGGCAACAGGTCAGTAACATGACTGAGTATAAAAAAGCATCCCAGTTTTTCAGACGTAAAGATGGAAGAGGAGGGGTTCACCAGTATGAAAGGGTCAAGGCCAAAAACCAGTATTTGCTGGCTGTGATCTTTGGGTCCTCAGACAGCACTACATTAAAAACAGACATGATTCTGTACTAGAAATCACTGCATGGGCTCAGAAACACTTCTGAAAACCACTGTCTGTGAAAACAGTTCATCACTGCATCCACAAATGCTAATTAAAACTCTAAACCGCAAAGAAGAAAACATATACAAACAGGATCCAGAAACACTGCCACCTTCTCTGGGCCTGCTCATTTAAGACGGACTGAGGCGAAGTGGAAAAGCATCCTGTGGTCCGATCAATCTACATTTGAAATTCTTTTCGGTAATCATGGACACTGTGTCCCCCCAAAGACCACTCAGCTTGTTATCAGCACACAGTTCAAAAGCCAGTATTCACGATGGTATAGGGGTGCATTAGCACATGGCATGAGTGACATGCACAAAATACCACAGTGATCACATTTTTAAATCCATGATCCTCACTTAAACATGTTTACCTGCTGCTTCTTTAGTGTGTCGGTGCAAACAGCAGAGAAAACAGCAGCAGCAGCTCCACGTTTGTTTATTTGGGTCTCTTAGTAACGGGGAGAATGCGTGAGTTTCCACGAGTTCAGTGAGTTTTCAGTCGCCCAGAAAACTCTGCAAAAACCAGCCGTATAGTGGGAGATGCTCAGTCTTTTATAATCTGTTAAGACTTTAAAAGTTGTGTAGTGAACTCGGCCTAGGGCTAAATAAGTGAACACCTCCTCTACAGAGAACACACTTCTGCACATTTAATGCACAACCAGTGTTTACTTGCTGAATTTAGAATAAAGGGAAAAAATTGTTGTTGTTTTCTAGTTAGGCCTAAGTAAACACATCTTCAGAATATAGTGTTGTAGACAGCCAGCATCTCTCAACACAGTGAAAGGCTGAATGTGTAATTGTCTAATGGTTTGTCTCGGAGGTGGTGGGAGGGAGGGAAGTGTGGACGGCAGCAATTTTGGCATCAATTTTCGCAATTAACTTACAAAATTCCTCTGCAATCCTCAATGAAACTTCTGAAAATAAAGAATTAACAAAACAGCTTACTTCTCCTTGTTTTGACTTTTTTAGCAGTGAACCTCCCCACCACTCCCCCCCATCACCCCCATACATCACACCCTCACCCTCCTTAAGATGAACCCAGGGGCCCACAGAGCTGCCTGGGAGCCGCTGAGAGATTACCCACAATCACACTGATAGCAGGCCTGTGTGAGCCAGAAGAGAGTGCTGGAGAGATAGAGAGAGAGAGACGGACTCATGTAGGGCTAACTGCCCTCTTACGGATCCAGCTCCGTAATGGCAGAGCGCACAATATCCGACTGCGGAGTGAGAATCCATCAAAACATATTGATCCCCAAACATTGGAATTGGCTATGGCAAGAGCAGAGAGAGCACCGTGGCTGAAAAAGTGTTTGTTTTGGCGCTGCCGTCTTGACAGGGTTCATATTTTAGAGCGAGGCTCTGGCGAGGGGCAGAGGGACAGCGGGAGATATGGCGCTAGATAACTTTCATACTTCTTTCTCTTACTGTGTGTGTTCCCAAGTGTTCCGTGTTCAGCTAATCAGGACCGTCTCGTGTGGACATTGTGGTCCTGAACTGGATCCCCAGGCTTATTAGAGCCTAAGGCTTATTAGAGAAACTTCAAGACTCAGAATTCTTTACAGTAGTGGTGATGGGAACCAGGGGTCACCATGTCTACAACATAAATATAGCCATTTTATTTACTATCCAAAACCACCAGTGAACCTACACGAGTCTTCTGAGCTTTATATGAAATGTTGATGGTAAACTAGTGGTAAAAGCAGGTGTTCTTCAAGGACTATGTTTCACGTACCTCTAAACCATGATTAAAAAAATATGTTTTAGACCACAGCTTTGTCTCAAAACTACATCTCAAGCATCAGGCAGTGTATTCATAACCACTCGTGGAAGAACTTACTGTGAGAGAGCTTTTAAAAGTATTAAACTCTTTAAATGTCTGGTTCCTATCACTGCCACTGTAAGCAAATCTGATTCTACAATTTTCTCCAAAACGAAGTAGCTCACATCAAAACACTCTGAACCACTTTGTTTACATCTTAACCATATTATCGTGCAGAAATTTTGGAAAATTAGTGAAATTCCCCTTTAAGGTATAGAAGTCACAGCGTAACCCTGATAGCAAGAGGATAGTGGGCCACTGTTGTCCCGGTGATGGCAAAGCTGGTGGTCCACTAGCATTTTGCTCAGCGTTTTCCGGGCGGCCCACCAGTGGTTAAGGATAGTATTGGAGTATTAGCCAAAATTCCACTTATCATCACTCGTTTTCCACTCAGTGCAATTTAGTTATTTTTCCTTCATTCCTGTCTTTAGTTACGCTTTGTAAATTAGTTTAGTAAATAATTTTATTCCGGCTCAGCGTCAGCAACAACACTTTCTATAAAATCATTTCATATCAGGCCTAGTCATTAATTTTTTTCTCTCGGTTGTTTGTAATATTTGCCTTAGTTTATTTTCTAAAATAAAAGTCTCTGAGCATTTAAAATGTGTTTGAGGAGATTAAAAACTAATCAGACAAATCAGAATTATCGTGAGTCTAGTCAATATATCTACTATTTCTCAAATTGAGATTCTTGTGAGCTTAATGTAAGATTATTCAACCTATTTCTAGACATTTTTTCCTTGTTTTAAGTTAATTTTACTAAGTAAAATTATCTCACTATATTGGCAGATAAGTTTGCTTGTTTTAAGAAGTGTGCTTGAAACCAGCAAAGTTACCTGCCAATATAATGAGATTTTTTTCTTGATAAAATTACTTAAAACAGGTAAAAATGTCTGGAAATAAGCTAGAAAATCTTATAATAAGTGCACAACCATCTCAAAATAAGAAATATTAGATAGAACAACTAGAATTAAGATAGTATCTTGTCAAGTGATTTTTTTTTTGCAGTGTAACATCATGATCTATGGCAGAGAGGAACCCTCAGGGCCTTCTAGGCCTTAGAGAAGACCTGATGCTTTCTGGGAACTAAAAAATGCAGGCCTGTACTTATTAGTTCATTTTTATTTAATAGAATTATGTTTGTAAACTCTGTATGTATCACAGCGCTACTCTTGTTTCTTTGTTAAGCTCTGAATGTAAACAAAAGGGGTTTAAAACCACCCAATGCCTTTACATGAGCTCTGAATTGGAAATCATTGAATGGACAGTTTTAAAAGGAGCAACCTATTGGATAAAGTGGTTGGTGTGGTGTAGTGGGTAACACCTCTGCCTTCTACGCTGTAGACTGGGGATCAATCCCCACCTGGGCAAACACCCTACACTATACCAATAAGAGTCCTTGGGCAAGACTCCTAACACTACCTTCGCCTACCTGTGTAAAATGGTCACACTGGAAGTTGAGCGTCTGCCAAATGCCGCAAATGTAAATAATGCATTGTTTGATTTTGTTTCTATGAAAAGATGAGAATATTTTCATGGCCACAGCTTATCGTAGCTTATTGCTTTAGAATTTCACAAGACATAGATAAAACAAGCACATTGAACCCATAAAGCCCAGTTAGACCAGAGCACACCAGCTCATAAAGTCATCTGGAGTTTTTGTTCCAGCAGTTCTTGGCATCAGATAAATATCACAAAATCAGTTGTGATTTTTTACCCTTATGACTTTTGTTTGCATCATTTTCTGCTTTGGTCCAAACCGAGGGAACCGAACCACAAATCAAAACCTTTATTTACTTAAAAAATCAAATATTACTTGGAAAATCTTAACAAGTTTAACACAAGTGGTGTTGGCTGAACTGTGACAGGTGTGAGTGTTTGAGAGTTGGTATTTACCTGTGGTCCAACGGGGTAAGCTGGATGAGACTGGCCCATGTGTCCATGCTCAGAAGGGCTACTGCTCGCATCAGACTGGACTGAACCACCTCTAACACCTGACACAGGAGAGAGAGAGAGAGAGAAAGAGAGCTTTACTTTTCCTACCCCAGAAATCTTGTTTACAAATTCTATTCCAATTCCACAGCAAGGAAACTATCAAAAACAGTATATACTATCATTGCTTCCCATTTCTGCTTTTATTCTCCCCCCACACGCACAGACAGAGAGACAGAGAGTCACGCTGTGATGGCAGTGAGCCCTCAGCGGGGGCTCTGTAAGTGTTGTGGTAAAGTGTTTTATCAATAGATAAACACATTCAGCCCTAAACACACATCAGCTGCATCACACGCAGCTCATTTCATCACTTTATTCCTCCCTTTCAGCACCGCTCATCAACTTACATCCCGCAGAGTCTTTCTGACCTGTAAACACACACACTCACTCACACACACACACACAGTTCCATATACACACTTTATAAAAGGGCCACTGAAGTTTCTTTTAGCAATTTTTTTTCATGAGAACCAAGAAATTTACATATATGGATGATTTTACTGAACTGGTTCAAAGTCAGAGTTGAAAACACATTTTTGCGACTTTTAACTGATTTTTTAACTGCTAAAATCATTTTGCTTTGAGTGACTCTAAACCTTAATGATGTTTATTCTATTAAAACAAATGACTGAACAATCCATTTTGTCACTATCACAACAATCATATTACTACAGAAACTTTACCAGATGTTTCAGTAGTGACTGTTTCGGTGGTGACAATTTTAGCTCATTTTGAGCTCAAAAACACAGACAGTACATGACCAGCAAACGCAGCTTTGAACAGCCGTTCACACATCAAATTAAAAAAATATCATATTTTCCATTTAAACACGAAAAGTCACTAAACTGCAGAAAATAAGAGTTTCGGTAGAGACAATTTTTAATGTTCACTGATTTTCAGACTTTGAGGAACATTTACTTCAAAACAATGGGATGTAACTTCTCACAGGGATACATTGTTAGGCTCTCTACACAGATACACATATAAATATGGTATTTTTTGGCAAATTTTCATGCACTGTACCTATTTATTTGCTGAGTTTAAAAGCAAGTTTGCTAAGGAAAAAACAAAACATAAAATCTAATACATGCATATATAAATATACTGTAATGGTGGGAGACGGAACCTGATGCTCGCAGACGAGGCAAGTTAAGAGCTTAATATTAAAAGGCCGACCCAAAAACACAGTCATGAACAGAAAAAGAGAGTTGAAAATCGGAGAACCAAAAATGAGCAAAAAGGCAAGACAAAAAGCGAGGTCATAAATGGAAAACAGGTCATACACAGTGTCTGGTTAACAGACATGGACAAAGGCTCAGTACGCACAGCAAGCAGTGACAATACTTCAGAAAGAGGAGGTACAAACAGATGTGGTTAAATACACTGGAGAACAGGTGAAAGTAATTAGAAGTACAGAGAGGCTGAATGGTGATAGGTGGATCTGGATCAGTCCTGAGTCATGTGATGGAGTGAGGGGTTCTTGGAATTGTAGTCTGAGGCAACCGAGTTGGCTGAGGGAGGCGTGACATATCTAAAGTATTTAAACACACACACACACACACATGAATATATATATATATATATATATATATATGGGATGTAAAAGCCTGAGAGCATTTTAAAAAACTGAGATTTTTTTCATTTAAACCTTTAAATAGACAACAGAACGTCTTAATGTTCGAAAACATTAATGTAAATAAAAGTTGGGACTTTTTAAAATGAAGAAATATTCGAAGTTCTGCACTATTTCTTGGTCACTTTTCAAATGTAAGCAAATTTGTTCAAAAATACATTTTATAAATTACAAACATAGAACATGTTAAAGTCTTTGTTAAAAAAAAAGTTCTGATTTTTTTGGGGGGGGGGTCTTTATCCTTCCACTGCAGTGTTGAATTCACACTATCATTAAAGCAAAAATACTAAGAAATTCTTAAATGAATATATATCAAAGACTTCAAAGGTTCTACATTTACTTAAATTGATGTGCTGATGATACAACTTGAAAATGACAAATTTGTATTAAATTAAAAAAAGAATGGCCAATAGAAGTATCACTACTGCTGTCAGGCCCCACTGTGCATACCCTTGTATCTAAAGGCCCTGAGTAACTTCCCGTATCACTTATGGCAAGAAATGGCTCTGTACACACACACACACACACACACACAGAGACACACACACACAAACACACACACACACACACACAAACACACACAAACACACACATGCATGCACTGTATGCACACACACACATATCTATTCCCAAGTCCATCTATGAGCAATAAACACACTGACATCATCAAACACACAAACACACAGCAAGAGAATATAGAAAAAAGGTATATGTGATTGACAGATAAGAGCAAAAAAAAAGTGTGTTGCTTTAAACTCCAAACTAGATCCATTCTGTGTTGCTCAAAAACATCTTTAACAGTCTGAAGATGTATTCCCCCATTCTCCTTAATTTCAGGCAGACTTTTCATTAATCACAGTGCGGTGAATCTTTCTAAACATTCAGAAAGCACTTAAAGACCAACCACAACCTGCGGAGCCTATGACTTCATTCTTGTGCCTTTCTCTTCTCCAGCCTGGCTGAAAAGACACAGCATTCAGGCTGAACTCTTCTGTAATGATGAACCCTGAAAATGTTATCAGACCAACAAAGGCCCACACATCCAGCTGACCTTGTACAGTATATAAAGACTTCAATAAATCCATACAGTGCAGCGATTAGGGTACGCAGGGTGAGCACTGTGTTAAAAAGTCGAATAAAATGCTGATTGTTTGTCTTTTTGTTCTTTGCATTACGCTTTTTTCCTTCTGCCAACTGTAGTTAGCCAGAGTACGTTACCTGATAGGTAAGTCTGTCCATTATGTCTGTCCATGAGACTTGGGCCCAGTCCCATTTCTTATTTTTACCCCTACCCCTTGTTTTCGAGTGTCACCTTGCCCCTTGGAACTGAGTTATAAGGGGTGGTGGATGAAATCTTCCCCTCTGAAATGGGACCCTCAAATAAAAAGAGCATCACTTCATTAACAGCTACCAGCGCTGCTCTGTAGGCGACCCTGCCAGTCTGCAGTGACAGCAGAGGAGGGTAAAGTTCAGCTCCTCACTGCTGGGCTTTAGTTACATTTAGGGCATCATATGCCTTCAAAGAGGGGGGCAGCTATTTATTATCACCCCCCCCCCTAATTCTTCAGTGATATGAAGCTGAAGTCAGATATTCACCAGCTTCTTGTTCAAATTTTCCTGTTCCACCTTAAATGGAGCAGCAGCTACATTCTGGCACTTTAGGCGTCAGAACTGCTGGACTATTTAAGGTGGAATGGGAAAGTTAGCTAGCTAGCTACTGAGACATCAGCATACTGTTAGCGAATTTTAATGCTTGTTATGAAGAAAAGGACCATTATACACTGAAACGACATTAAACTAATATAATACAGCGGTTATGGTAATTTTTTAACAGAGAAAATTCTCACGTTTGTGGGTTTCTTTGGTCTCTTGTTCAGCCATCTTGTCGGTTTTTCATTTTTCTCATAACTCTCTGTTTGGAGTCTCTATAAAACCTCCGTTTGGAGGGTCATGTAGCCCCAACACTTCGCCCTACCCCCTCTATCTCAACTAAAATCAGGACACCTTACTGCTAGGAGTGAACACGCAAAACAGGCATGCCTCTATGATGGATATCGCAACATTGACTCAGGAATACTTTGACAAACTGTTGTCAATAAATTTCATTTGTTGCTGCATCAACTAATGCAGGTTAAGACTGTGCTATGCACAGTGGATGTCAAATATCAACAATGTCCGAAACACTGCTGACTTCTCTGGGCTCAGACTTATCTGAAATGGACTGATGCTCAGAGGAAACGCGTACTGTGCTCTGATGAGTCAACCTTTTAGACTGTTTATGGAAATAGTGTTCTCTGGGACAAAAAAGAAAAGGACCATCCAGATTGTTACCAGCGTAAAGTTGATAATCTAGCATCTGTCATGCTGTGTGTGTGTGGGGGGGTATTATTATGCCAATGGTATAGATAATTTGCACATCTGTAAAGGCACCATTAAGCAGAGATGTTCATGCTTTTTAACACCAAGCCACATTCTGCACATGGTACAACAGCATGGCTATGTCAACAGAGTGTGAGTCCTAGACTGGCCTGCCTGCAGTCCAGATCTGCCTTCCATTCAAAACACGGGGCACAATAATAAGCGCAAAATACAACAGCGAAGGCCATGTCAGTTCTGAAGCTGAAAACATATAATGGAGGAATGGCAAAACATTTCATTAGTGTCTTTAATCCTCAAAACAAAAAAAGGAAAAGTGATATAGTAAACATGCAACTGTCACAGCTTTCTCTGGAATGTGCTGTCGGCAAGTTCATAAGGTAAAACATCAAATGTCATGTAATTGTACTATTTTCAGATCAAAAAGAATTAGCTTTCTGTTTTTATTATCTCATCACACACTGTCCCAACGTTTTTGGGAATTGAGGTATGCTAAATGCTAAAATGTGACCATTATGTGTTTTTTCCCAACTGGTTCATTGGCTCTTGTTGGTCCCCTCACAGAGATTGATTTGATTATTATTAGATTATTATTAGTCTTTATTTTTTTACTTTATTTATTTGTATTAGGTGTCTTTATTTTATGACTAGGCACAAAATAGAGCAGTACAGTATTTCAAATGTTATGTATCATGCACAGTCATTGAGTGTCTCTTTAAACAATCAGTTCAAAGTCCTCAGTTTTATCCCAATGTAAGTTTAGAAGAGGATTAGCTGTTTAGACCCAGCATTAGTGAGACCTGTGATGGCAGTAGAGTCTCCTGAATGTAATGATTTCAGATCAGAGCTGTCATTCTTCAGCTACCCGAGGCCTGGACGTACCCTCCCAGATAACTGGACATGTCATTTACTTCCCATCTTACAGCTCCTCTTATAACATGAAACCACATCTACAGGGACAACCTAACATAATTTAGTTTCTGAGAAATATTT